TGAGGGTGAGCAAGACCCAGAGGTGGTGAGGGTGTCTGGAAATAGGGGACAGACAGGTTTGCATGCAAAAAACAGAAAACATGCTTGCAGGGTCTGAAGAAGGCCAGAGGGACTGCACTGCAGAGAGGCAAGGCCAGATGTGGCAGCAGAGGTGACAAGGCCGTCCTGAGGACCTTGACCTTCTCTTATCCTGGACGCACAGGTAAAAGGCAGCAACTATGGAGAGCGGCTGGGGACATGGGGATGCCTGGAGACCAGCAGGGAAGCGAGTTACAAGGAGGCGTCCAGGTAGCATGGCCGAGGGTGGTGCAAAGACAGTGGAGAGAAGTGGACAGATTCAGCATCTATTTAGGAAACAGAATGGATAGAGCTTGAATATGGGGGTTCGGGGGGGGTTGGTAAGTGCCAAGCATGACTCCCAGATTTCTGGCTAGTTTGACTGGGAGGACTCATATGCTCCACAAGCACTTACCGAGCACCTAGCCCCCGCCGGGCTCGATTCTAGGCCTGGGGGTTACGAGCTCGTCATGCTACGTAGAGACAAGTGCCAAGGAGAACAACAAACCAGGAAAGTGGGCTAGGGTGTTTCTGGGGAGAAGAAGTTAACAATTTGTTATAGGGTGGACAGGGAAGACCTTAGTGAGAAGGTAACATTTGAATAAATACCTGAAGAAGATGAGGGAGCGAGTCATATCTAAGGAATAATAAATAAATGATAAATACCTGGGAAAGGAGCCCCAGGTGGAGGAAACGGCTAGTGCAAAGGTCCTGAGGCAGAAGCGCACCTGCTCTGTTTCAGAGTGGCAAGGAGGCCCACGTGGCCGGAGTGAAGCAAACCGAGCAGAAAAGAGTAGGCGAGGAGCTCGGGCTGAAGGGAGACATGTCACATAGGGCCCACAGGCCACTGTGAGGACAGTAGGTCTGGTTGAGGTGGGAGCACATGAGTGACTCAGCCTGGCCCACGTCTGAGCATTCCAGATGCTGGGTTGGGGACTGAATGAAGAGAGGTTGGTGGCAAAGGGGGAGAGGCCAAGTGAAGAAACGAAAGGCAAGGCAGGAGGTTAGTGCCGCTGTCCCGCAGGGGCTGGTGGTGGCCGGGGCCAGGGTGGTCGCAGGGGAAGTCAGGAGCCGGGGCGCATTCTGAGGGCGGAGCTGGCAGGATTTGCCGGCTGGTGGGAAACGGGCTGTGCATTGGAGAGAAGAGTCGAGGGTGAGCCCTGAGCCACCAGAAGGATGGAGCTGCCGCTTCCCGAGAGGCGGAGGGTCGGGGCACGGGACGCTGGAGTTCAGATGAGGACGTGTCACAGTTGGGGCGCCTGATGTGAAGATGGCAGGGCTGGGAAGACCCGAGGTGAGGGCGGCAGTAAAACGAGAAAGGCAAGAGCCGACTCACAGAGGGCTTTTGGGGTCATGGGAGGGAATCGGAGCATTTTTCTTGGTGACGTGGGAATCATAGAAGAGTTTAGGTGTGATCTAACTCACTTTCAGAAGGTTACACGGACCACCGAGGGAAGAATGGGCGGGAGGGCTAGAGGCGGGAAGAGCCGTGCAGGGGGAGGGGGTCAAGACTAGGAAGGTGGAGCCGGGGAAACGGGCAGAGCTGGAGCAAGACGTGCAGATGGATGGGACAGGACAAGTGCCGGCGAGAGGAGAGAGCAAAGATGATTCCCAGGTTTCTGTCTTGGGCAAACGGAGGGCACTGCGGGGTCACTTCCTGAGACAGCAAAGGGAAAATCAAAACTTCAGTCAGATACAGAAGAGTTGCTGGATGCAGCTCCCGGAGCAGGAAATGATGAATGGGGTGTTCACCAGGGCCCCGGGGAGAGAAAGGTGAAGAGGGAGGGCGGGGAGGGCAGGCAGTTCAAGGCGGAGAGAACCGCATGTTCCCACGCAATTTGTCCGGGTCACTCTGAGTGCGGCTGTGCTGGAATAGAAGCTCCGATGGCTGGATGGCAGAACAGGCTAGAAACACCAGCAGGAACTTAGTGAGGGAGGACCGTTTGTTTCACGTTACCGAGAGCAATAGGTGCCCAGGATCTACCGCGTTGATGAATTCTGGGTTATTTATTTCGCTGATAAAGAACTGGCAGTGTGCGGTATTACTTTTCCCGTTGCTTGATTGCAAATCATATGCTCGTTTTAAATGTTTTATTTGCATTTCATTATGGGCCTCTTGGACACTTGCCATGACTTGATGCAATCGTTTTATAAAGGGCTAAACTTATACTGTGTAAAAAATCACATCATTTCTCAGGTTGATACCAAGGACTTGCTGGTAGCGGACAGTGCCGCTGATTTGCTGGTGCACACCTTCCCAGGGATCAGAAAATAGACATTTGGGCATACATGTTTCTCCTCTGGAACTTGCTTTATTGGACAAAGATCTTCTATCCCAGAGTCATTCATTCACCCAACAAATTGTTTTAAATCCCTTATTTGTGCCTGGAAAGCCTAAGCTCTGGGGATAGAGAGAAGAGCAAACAACAGACCCAGATGCTGCTCTCATGAGCTCACACACACACATACACACACACACACACACACACACTACAAACTGTGCTAAGTGTTGTGAAGGAAAATCACAGGGAGTTAGGAGAGTGGGTCACTGGAGGCTTCACTAGCCTGGAGGAAGAGGGGTGACATGGTAACTAGGTAAAAGTGAGGGAGGAAAGAGTGTTCTAGGCAGAGGTAATGGCATGTGCAAAGGTCCTGAGGCAGAAGAGCAAATTGAGATAATGAAGGATCAGGAAGGAAGGCAGAGTGGCTAGAGAAGAAACTGGGAATTGATACTGATGTGATATGATCAGATTTGCATGTTTCAAAGATCCCTCTGGCTACAGTGCAGATAAAAAGATAAGAAGAGGCAAGAGTGACAGGGCAGACCTGTGAGGAGGCCACTGCAGCTGTGCAGGTGAAAGTTGACAGTGGCCTGGACCAGGCTGGGGACCAGAGAGACAGAGGAGCAGAAGGCATTGACAGCAAGACCAATAGGACTGAACGTAGCTATGTAAGTGACAACATCCATGAAAATTTCAAATCAAGCTATGCTAGAATCATGTGACTTATTGATCATTTGCAATATGGCTAATCCACGGGGAACAAAAGCCCTCCAGAGCTGTTGTGAGCTGGCAGTGACTGGGTGATTTGAATAAAGAGTGTCACTCCCTGCCCTTCGATCAGACCACCACCCCACAGGCTATGAGGAAATATAAAATAAGGGGCCCCACACTTACGAAGTAAGCAAGACCCAGATCATTCATTCCTTTTTTCCTTTATTTATTATAATGTGAGAGATCTCTTAATGTACAAGATGGGAGCCTGGAGGAGGAACATCAGTGTCTGCAGCTGGGAAGGGGAGTGCAGGGGGAGAAGGGTGGAGAGGGAGCTGATGAGAATCCCAAGCTGAATAAAAGGGCATGAAACTAGAAAATCTAGGAGGTGTGTGGTGTTAAAGAGCTCAAAGACCCTGTTGGGGAATAAGAAAATCTCCATCATTTCAGGTATGAGTTTTACATTTTATTCATATAAAGGAGTCAATTATCTGCTCAATTTTACGGACTAAAATAGGCTTCTTGGATTTGATGGGATTTTAAAAAACAAATAGAACTGATTGCAAATCAATTTTGTGAAGCTATAGATAAAACTTGGCGGAGGAGCTGCTGATAGAAGCAATGATAGCATTCTTATCTAATTCGGATTTCATCGCCACTTGAGCAGCTCACAAACAAGGCCTGGTGTTCTTCCTCTGTGTGGTGCTAAATTTTAATGCCATTGAACTTCTTTTTCGGCATGCCAGAAATGAAGACATTATCTCAAACTTGAGTTAGGAAACAGCAGATACATTAGAGGAAAGGGAGTAAGTTTCATCTGATAGTGGGCAACCATGCCCATAAAACAGGTATTTCTCTATGAAATAGGAGAAAATAATGAGGAAAAAAAGAAATGCCTATATAACCATGGAAAGATATTTCCCAGATGTAGGCAAGCTATTAGACATTTTGCACAAATTTTTACAAAATCAAGCCAAGCCAATATTTTTGATAGCATTTTATGTGGAGGAGCCTAACAGAGATCATTTTAATTGTTGGAGTTTACATCTGTCTCTAACTGCCTTCGTTTCTGCTTCAAGCTTTGATATCAACCTAATGTTGGCTAAATATTTAGCATACATTAATGAGAGGTGTGTGCCATCCAACACAATCTGACTCTATGCAGGAAATTTTATATTCAAAATATGTATTGGGGTTTTTTAAGTTTGGATACATATGGTTGTTTCCTACCATGTTTATTTTCACATTGGTTTCTGAAAATAGGAATTGAATGAAGGGGAGGGTGCAAAAGTGAAGGAAGAAACCCTTTATGTTCATTTCCCATTATGAGATTCCTGTAGCTCTAGAGATACAATGTCTCCATAAAGTGATTTAGCATCCATAAATGCCAATTTACAAAGCATTATCCATTGCTATCAAGGAAGAAAATATATTCTCCCTCTTTCCCTGCCCAATAAGTAAACTTTGAAAACAGTTACAAGCACATGTAATAATAATACAACAACTCGCATTTCTATAGCAACTTGCACTAGAGGATTTCTCAGTTGCTTTGCAAACAGTAATTAATTAGACCCCCTAAGATCCCCGCTAGGAAACCGTGAGATGTGGGTATGTATCGAACAACCCCCAGCACTGACTCGCTGTCACCTCTGGGGTTGGCAAACAGCTGTTGTTTAAAAACTGTGTAGCACACAGAACTCAACATTTTGAACATTAATGAAGGACTTAGAATTCTGAGATGCAACCGAAAATTAGATGTGCAGGCTTTGGTCTTGTCGTGTAAATGTGATAGAGGGATGAAAGCAAGATGCTGTTTTCCATGTCATCTGCCATCACTGCATCCCCTCGGGCTCAATTTATCCCAAGGCATGAAGTAACTCTGCCAGGTTCATAATCCTGGAGATGACCTCATTACCAAGCAATTTTGCCTTAAGGAATGTAGCCATTTTTTTAAAAATAAGCATATATATATATATATATATATATATATATATATGACTTATTATTCACCAGGCATCCATTTTAAACCCTTTGATTCTCACAGCAACTCTTTTTAGGGTTGTTATTATTATTATTCTATTTTATAGGTAAGAAAACTGAGGCATAGAACGTTTAAGAAATTTTCCCAAGATCACTCAGCTATGCTACCTCAGTGTTAGCATTACCTGTTAATAAACTTGAACATTTACAGATTGGCACATTTTCTCAACTTTGTCATGCAGGTTGTCTGCAATTCAACCTGCTAGAACTCTAGTGTGGTTACCAGGAGTAACTCAGAGAAGCCAATCTGAAAAAAAATAATAATAATAAGCACCACTCGATTCAGCACCTTGGAGAGCATCTTCCGACTCCCAGCATGGGCAAGGCAGCAGTTCTCAGAGGCCTCGTGAGTTTCCACCGAGAAGGGCTGAAGCTGGGAACAGGCAGGGGCCAAGCTAACCAGGATTGTTCCTCCATTCTCTTACTAAGATCAAGCCTTTCTGACAGCAGAAGTGGGTTTAGGATTTTCAAGCCAGGTTAACCCAGTTCAGCTCACGCCTGGGACTTGACAGCTCTGATTTTCCCATTCTTGAGCTATTGGGATGTCTCGGGCCTCAAAGATAATGAATTTTCTACTTAATATTTAGTTTTCCCACTGAATATGGATGTGCCTCTCTCTTATTATTTTTTCCCACATCCCTGCTAAGAGATGATCTTCCAGAGCAATTAGGCTTTCTCACCCAGGGACCACTGATGTACTTTCTTAGTTTGCCTGTAAGGCAGTGATGTACATGGCCTTAAGCCCCAGTTTTTACATCTTAAAAATGGGCATAATAATGGCAACTGAGTCATGAGATTGTTATAAGGTTTAAATAAGGTAATATGATTAGAAAACAGATTTTATCATGAAAAGAAAGAAATAGGGAAAGTAGTGATATCCCTTTCTGAACAACAAGAGTCATGTGACTGACATACATTCCCTCTCTGCTTTGGCTGTCAGGGAGCTTTGGGCCAAAGTTCTCACTCAGCATTAGCAGCTCTACAGGACAGTATAGCCTGCCTGTTGCTGTCGCTTTACCTCTGCTCTGGTCCTGGCCTTCCCTTCGGATTGACATATTCTTTGATCCTGGTTCCTCTTGTGGTTTTATTCTCTGTGTCATTTCACATCACTGCATGAGATAGATGGGTGTAGATCATTAGAATATAAGTCCCAATGAGCAAAGAGCTTTGTCTACTTTGTTCATTGCTATACCCCAAAGGACTAAAACAGCGCACACGGCTTATTGTAAGAGCTTAGGAAATATGTATTATATAGTTTAGAAGATAGATAGGTAGACAGACAAAAAAACAGGCAGAAAAGAAAGAAAGAGGACAGAAGGAGGGAGGGAGGGAAGGAAGGAGGAAGGAAGGAAGTAGAAGGAAGGAAGGAAGAAGGAAGGACTGAAGGAAGGAGGAAGGAAGGGCAAGCGGAGGAGGATCTCCCTTGCTAATTCCTTTCTATCTTCTGACCCCACAACTGTCTCTTGTCTTGCTTTGCAAAGATCACTGGACAACCATTCTCACTTTTCACATCTGCCCATAAGTAATGCTCAGAATAATCCTTTTACTTGGATTTACTACCTGGTAGCTTTGCATGGGTGCTGGGTTAGCTGGCTGCTCCCTCTTCACTGATCATCCATGATGACACAGCCCTTGCCAGGCAGATGAGCAACACAAGTTCCGGCCATGCTGCTCCCACAGTCTGTCTTCCCCTGTTGTCTAAGGATGGAAGATGAGGAAGCAGAGTAGGAGGCTCATTGTCAAGATAACCAAGATCTCAGCTGGTGCAGGCCCCTTCCCTAAAAAGCTAACAGGGTTGCACTGATGCAATAGAAACAATAGTAGTAAAATTAGTTGCAGCGAAAACATGCCCTTCTAACTCACAGCCCCAGCGTGTGGGTGGAGCTGCGCCATGTGTCTAACGAGGAGATTCCCCTGGGAAGGGCTGGATCCTCCTCTCTGACACAGCGAAAGGCTCTGACACTGCTGGGTATTTGTGACAGATTATTAGGCAATGTGAATGCATTGGGGGGAGGGGGAGGGACTTGGTCAAGTCCCCATCCAGAGCACAGCAGCTAACACGGCCTCTAAACCCTCACCAGCTGAATCAGCCAACCAGTTCAACTACCATTTATTGAGTGCGTACTATGCGCCAGGGCCAGAGACCTGCTGGACGCATCTGATTTCCAGGCATCTGATTTTAAAGAAAACAGAACTGAAAAAGATATTCATACCTGCCCCTCTCTCCTCCACCCCCTCCCCTCGGTCCCTGTCAGCGTGGTCTTAAGACTGTCACAGCCTCCCAGGTGGGAATCAGCCCCCCCTCCGATTTCTGGAAGGAGTCCAGCCTCCCCACCTCTCCCTCGCAGCGGGTGTCTCACAAGCAGCAATCCCGCCCAGGCGGGGACGCTTGTCTGTCCCTCCCTTCAGGAAATCGTCCAGCTCTGGGCGTGCTGCGAGAATCTCGCCGTGGAAGTCTCCCCGGGAATAAACACACATTTCTGATAACTCTAAAGATTAAGCCAAGGAAATAAAAATTCACTCGTGAGACACGAACTGTAAACAACCGGGATTTTCCACGGAAATATTGGCACTTTGGCGAGGGTGCGGCGGCCCGCAGTGGACGGGGATCTGCTGCAGTCCTGCCTGGCAGTCCTGAAGTCGCTCAATAGACCAGACATCATCAAATACCATGTCCGAATCCTGTTCAGATGATTAGAATGAAAAGGGTAATGCAATTCAATTGCCTGGAGAATCGTCGTACGCACAGACACAAACAGGGCTGACCGCAGGCAAAACCGCTTAGCAAGTGAGGTTTGTCCAGGGGGCCCTGGCTTGCCTGCCTTTGACCCCCCAGCCTGTCCCCCTTTCGCAGGACTCCGTTGTGAGTTAAAGCCAACGTGCTGCCCCTTCCGGGGACATGTGCTCTGCAAATGCACTCTCTACTTAGATGGTGAGGGGATTAAAAACTCCTGTTTATCCAACAGTGGGCCAGGCACATTTTCACAAGCACCGTTAGCCCTCATTGCACACCGTGTGGTGGTTCACTCATTCCAGAAACATTCGCTGACTAGCTACACAGCGCCAGGCCCCGTTCTAGGCACTGGAGACACGGCGGACATCAAAAACGCAAACGCCCTCCGCTCGTGAGCTCTACAGACTAATGGGAAGAAACATGCAATAAACAAACAACCATAAATGCTTGTCAGGTGGGGACAAGTGCTCTGCAGAAAAATAAAGCAGGGCGAGGGGACAGAAAGTGGCAGAAAGGGATGCTATGTAAGATGGGGTGGCTACGGAGGGCCTCTTGGAGGTGATGGTTGAACAGAGCCCCTGAAGGATGAGCACGTGAGCCACGTTGGCATCAGGGAAAGCGATGCAGATGCAAGGGACAGCATGTGCAAAGGGCCTGCGAATGCCTGGTGTGTTCCAAGAAGGAGGCAAGGGGAGGGAGCAGAGTGACTGAGGGAGAGAAACGCATGAGACGGGGACGGAGAAGTGGAGGGCAGACACAGAGAGCTCGTGGGCTGGGATGGGGACTCAGATTTACAGAGGGACATAGGAGCCATTGGAGGGTCTAAGCAAATGAGCGACCTTTGTTGACTTTGCCGTGACTTGGCTCTGGCTGCCGGGTGGGGGCAGGCTGTATGGGAACAAGTGTGGAAACACAGAGGCCGGTTAGGAGATGGCTACAGTGACCCGGGGCAGAAATGAAGGTGGCCTGAACAGGAGCAAACCAGGGGAGGCGACACAGAATGGTCAGCCCTGACCCCCAGGGAACCTGAGATACGGAAAGGGGGAGAAATTGCTCAAAGCCCGTGGGTCAGCAAGTGGCCCAGCGAGTCCTGCCTGGCCATAGAGTCCTGGCGCCCACAGCCTGGCACAAGCTTCCCCATCACCACGCAACGAAGGACGCTGCTCCTTGGTGAAGGGATCGTACTCCTCAGAGACCAGGAAGAAGAGGGATTGGGGAGGCCAGAGATTTTTCTGGGCTCTTGCAATCTCACTCCAGCCCTTGCCTTGAAAGGGTCCCACCAGGAGTAAATAACAGTCAGCAGTTGTCAGGCTCTTCCTCTGGGCCCAGTAGTCTTCTGAGTCATTCCCATTGTCATCGCAAGAATTCCCCACAACCATCTCATGAAGGAGCTGCCATCTTCATTCTCATTATGCGCAGGAGGAAACTGAGGCATGGCCCTGTGAACTGGCCGAGGCGACGGGGCTGGGACGTGAACCCTGGCAGGCTGGCTCCCAGGGTTCCCACTCTTGGTCATCATACTATTTCTTCCTTGCAGAGCTGTTTACTTGTGATATTGTGCTGAATTTTGGTCTTGGAGACTGAGGCTCACACTCCTGGTGCTCATTGAAACAGACCCCCACAAACGTGAACCTGGGGGACACAGGAGAATGTCCATGAGGGGGCTGACGGGCCCTGATGGGGCTTCCTGCGCAGGGCGGCAGGCAGATGAGAGGGCCTCGGGGCTCCCATTCACCTTGAAGGAGCTGATAAGTGTCTCACTATGTCTCACGGGCTGTCCATTCTGGGTCGCAAGTCCCCCAGATGTAGGGAGAGAAAAGTTGAGTTGTTACTAATAAAATCAAGGCTGCCAACTCCCAGCCTTACCTGATGGATGACAGAGATGTCCCCAGCCCTTCGTCCTTTCCATTTTTAAGGGTACAGGCTTATACAGCCACAGGTTCAGGCTTACATGACGAGGACAGGATGGAACAGGTGAGGGGAGAGGAGGGGATGGAGGGGTGGAACTCCCAAAGGCCAACTGAGCCAACCTGGGGAGAGGAGAGGGTGTGTGCCCTTCAAGGCAGACAGACAAGTGGGGAACACAAACTCTCAAAGTACCATCATCTCAGACGCCCTGGAAGTCCCTCTTTGCTCTCACCCCTTCCTCTACCCAAAAAGCTTCCCCTCCCACCCACTTGCCTCAGCGGTACTTATTCAGTTATAAGAGCTGCTGTAATACCCCTCTCCCCTTAGAAAGAAATGACCTAAGATCTCTTTAGGCCCCTCTCTAGTAATACAAATAAACAACAAAAACAACATCTTCTCTTTATTGAGCTTTGTTTTTATGTACTTTTCCATTCAATGGAGTATCAAAATGGCCCTGCAAGATGGGTGTTGTTATCTCCATTTTATTGACGAGACACCTAGAGCTCAGAGAAGTGGAGTGACTCGCCCAAGGCCACACAGCTGAGGACGTGGAGGATCTGCGATCCAAACCCGGAACGCCAGTCTCAGGAGCTTGGGCTGTGCCCTTAGACCCCCAGCTGCCCCGCCCTGTTGCTGGAGGGCTGGCACGTCTTCTGTCACTTCTGCGTCCTTGGCACCCACTCGGTGCTTAGTAAATATTGATGGAAATGACTCATGGATGAATAAATGGATGAAAACTGAGTTATAATGAACAGGAGTCCATAAATATGCTCACATGTACTTACATTGTAAGAGACAATGCTAACAGTTCTTGAGGACTGTTTATTCAGATGGCAAATACAAAAAGTGCTCACTGGACATCCACTGTGTACTGGGGGTGCGTGCGACGCAGGGGTGTCTTGGGGAACGGAATCGTCCTGGTCCCCAACCCAGAGGAGCTCATAAAATAGAGGGGGAGGGAAACCAGAGACAGTCAGTATGTCACAAATGAAAAATATTTGTAAATGATTTAAAAATGTTGAAGAGAGAATGCGGGATGCTTAAAGAGAATAGTGTGGTCCAACAGAGAGGTTCATCACAGCTTCCCAGTAGGAAACACATGAGGTTGAACAGGAGTCATGCAGGCAATAATTGGGGGAAGGCACATGCAAAGCCCCTAAGGCAAGACTAACAGCTTAGTGCCTTCCAGAAAGTACCAGCAGACCAGCATGGGTAGAGAAAAGCGCAGGGGAGATGGAAGGAAACAGAGCTAGAGACTTGGGCAGGGGCCAGAAGATGCGAAGCCTGGTCGCCTCATTAGATGTTCCGGATTCCAGCCAAGTGGCCACGGGAAACTCTGAAGGGCGTGACTGCGGGGTGTGAAGCAGGGAGGGGACACGGTTCAATCTGGCCCTGAGCCAACAGTGAGCAGAGAAGGAAGCAAGACGGAGGCAGAGAGAGGGACTAGTCAGTGTAGTCATCCAGGTGGGAGCCACTTGGACCATGGGAGTGACAAAAATGGATAGAGTTGAGATCTCTCTGGGAAACAGGACATTGAGCACCAAAGGTGATATGGGCGTAGCCCATTCACACCCTCAGTTGGACTCACAGTGGGGCAGAGGCCGTGTGGACTTTGGAAACAGACCAGATTCTAATCCACCTTCAATCTTTCATGGCTGTGTGGTTTTAGGCAGGTCGTCCAACCTCTTGGAGTCTTGGTTTCCCCATCTGGAAGATATGCATGAGAGAACCGGCCTCCCCAGGAACACGGCCATGGAATGAGACAATGCATGTGACATTGTGGAGTACGGTGGCCCTCTCCCAACAAGCCGACATCTCTTTGCCATCCCTAGATACCGGTAGCCTGACTTCCGAGCTGCCCTCCTGACCACTGGACTCTCCTGCCTCGGTGAACAGTTTTTTAAAAAATGAATTCCCATACACTCCGTGCCAAAGAGAAAATGCAGAGCGGGCTTGCTAGAGGCTTGCCACAGCCTGCCAACCTCGTTCCACTAGCACCTGTCAGTGACCACAGCCTCTCATCACTTCGGCTGTAACTCAATTACCAGTCCCTGGG